AGGGTTGACAAAAAGAAAACACACGGACAAGTCAGCTCACAACAATTAGGTTTTTTTAATTAAAGTTCGTTAAGTCCAATCGGGATAATTACACAAACTGCGAATTAATAACACAATAACACATCCGAATCAACGATACACACGTTTACCTCGTTCCTCCTTTATCTTCCTTAACAATGGGGCTCACGACACGTGGCGAAGCGGGACAACAAGAACGGCGCGTAACAAAGACAAATAACTGAACGTTACTCACGACAAAAGAAAATCTTGGCCGCGAACAAAACATTTGAAGAACCACTACGTGCCGACGAGTCTTTCTTCGATCTTCTCTTATTTGGGCGAGTTAGAGTCTATAGCCACACAGTTCCTATTCCGATGCCAATCCTTTTCTTCTTCTTTCTTCAGCACTTCCATCGAGCCGGGAATCCGGAAACAAAAAGCCCCTACTCCACGTGGGTCACACCTTATATATCTTACAAACTGGATATACCACACGTGACCCTCAACCAGCCAATCTGGCTGCCAATACACAGTTAGCCGGGGAAGGGTGGCACTGCGAAACAAAATGAAAGGGGTGAGGGAAAAACCGAAACGAAAACAACAAAGAAAACGAAGAAATAGTCGCGAAGTGCTACATATCTCCCCTCGAAAGATGTCAACTTCCGTTGTGTAAGCGACGGAAGTCAATTTGCCGGTGACGTAAGTTATAACGCCCCCTGTGCACTCCCTCGCCCTCGCCATCCTTGCTTGGAGGCGTGTTATCGACGCCGGGTGTCTTCCCTTTATCACCTTCATGTGGTCTAGCCCACCTAATTCCTTGGGCTTCTTCCTCCTCCTCCTCCTCCCCCTCCATCTCAGGCTCCCTATGAGCTCTTCTGCGTCTGTTCGGCCTGCCTTTACTGCTCCTCCTGGAATCAGGGTGTCCATAGTAAATCTTTAATCGATCCACATGGACAGTTTCTTTATCTTTAAAATTACACCCTTCTATGCAGTATGTTGTGGGGTTTATGATTTTTATCACACGGAACGGCCCTTTGTATTTCTCAGCGAATTTGCTTTTCTTCACGCCGCTCTTTTTTAGCCACACTCTTTGCCCCACCAAAAACTGCTCTAGCTTACGGCCTTTATTACTGTACTCCCTCCTTCCCATGTTAAAATTTTCCGCGCGCATTCTTGCACCTTCCCTCAACGTGCGGAGTTTCGTAATCAGGAATGCTCTGCGCTCATCTGTCGTTTCCTCCCTTGCGGGGTACTCAAAGTTAGGTATGCAAGGATCTACACCGTATAGGAGGAAGGCAGGTGACTCATTAGTGGCCAAGTGGTTTGAGTTATTGTACGCAAAGCAGGCCGAGTATACCATCTCGTCCCATTCAACCTCACTCCTCTTTGCAGACTTCGCTATCATCTCCACTATTCACTTGTTGACTCTCTCGCACAACCCGTTGGCACACAGCCTGTACGCCGTTGTGATATTTCTTTTAATCCCCAACCACCTACAACAATCAGCAAACAGAGAGGATAAGAAGTTTGTCCCCCTATCAGAGATTATCACCTCAGGTACGCCATAGCGTCAAAATATCCTATTAAAGATGGCGTTACTAACTGACCACGCTGTTTGGTCTTTTAGTGGGCAGGCCTCGACGAATCTTGTAAATACATCGATCATGACCAGCAGGAACCTATTCCCTTTGCTTGTTGTGTTCATAGGCCCTACTATGTCGACCGCAATTTTTTGAAAGGGTGCATGGGCGACTTCGTTCCTTTGGAACGGGGCCTTCCCCTTATGGACATTGTGTTTCTGGCACCTCTCGCAAGTTTTAATAATCTCTTTGACTCTCCTCTTGAAGTCCCGTATGTAATAGCACCTCTCAATGTTTTTCATGGTCTTCCTAACGCTCCAGTGCCCTGACATGTCGTCGGTGTGAATAGCTTTAATTAGATCCGCGGCAACGCTCTCCCCCACGCACACTTGGTCCTTCCGCTGATCGCGGGTGTTATCGTAACCTAATCTATACAAGCAGTCATCCACAACTATATATCTTGATGACTCACTGCTTACGCCCTGATCCTCTTGGGCTCTAAGCAAATCCCGTTTTATGGGCCCGAAGAATTCATCTCTATCTTGTGATAATTTTATGTCGTGCTTATCGGGGGCTATGTGGGTTGAGAGACCTGTGTTCAAGCGGTATATCTCATTGACATTCTTTGACAGAAAATTGGCTACTTTGTTATCCACGCCACTCATGTGCTGCACTTCAATGTCGTAATCTGTCAGTTCCATTGCCCACCTAATTAACCGTTTGCTCCCGTTCTGAATGTTACTAAGGAAGATGAGGGGCTTGTGATCTGATAAGATCATGGTCCTCTGTCCCAGAATCAAAAATCTAAAATGCCTAAGGGCTAATATTATCGCCAAACACTCCTTCTCAATTGTTGAATAGTTAACCTCAGCCCCCCGGAACCTTCTGCTAAAATAACCGATTGGCACGAACCCACCTTCCCTTCGTTGTTCCAGCACAGCCGCCGCTGATCGATCCGATGCGTCAGTGTGCAAGAAAAAGGATTCTTCGAAATTAGGATGTGCTAATACCGGAGGCTTAGATATCGCCTCCTTCAATTTCTCGAACGCACCTTGACACTCTGGGCTCCAAACAAACCTCTTCCCCTTCTTTGTCAGTTCGGTTAGGGGTTCGGCAATTTCGGCGAACGATGGTATGAAGGTACGAAAAAACCCCACCAATCCGAGGAAGCTACGCACACCTTTTACACTCCTAGGCAGCTTCACCCTACTGATCGACTCGATATTACCCGAATCAGATCGAACACCCTCTACGCTAATTATGTGGCCGAGGTATCGCACCTCCTCAGCCAGTATTTGGCATTTCCTCGGATTTAGCTTAAGCCCCTCTTTATGCAGCGTGTTAATTACGCGATCTAACAATTCCAAGTGGTCTTCTAGGGTAGCCGAAAACAGGACAATGTCATCTTGGAAAACAAAACAACTGTTTCCCACGAACCTAGCAAGAATCTTAGNTTGTCTTGTAGAAGGTGAAGCCGTTTTGGATATATGAGAACGTACACACACACACACACGCACACTCACAAAACATAATGTGTGCTACAAACTTTTGACTGGCCTATGTTGTATAAGTGCTGAATGACTCAGCAGGGTAGCCTTCAGATTGGCACTAATTTTAACTATTATGATAAATAAAACTATGTTTTTATATTGGAACATGGTGTATACTGCTTAAAATATTTAAATACTTCTCACCTGTTAACGTGTAATAAACATGCTATCACATATTTACAAAAACCAGACAGCCCCACTTTGCATGTGCATTCTCCCTGTAATTGAGATGCATTAAAATGTCAATATCTGAGATTGCAACACTAAAGCAACAACATGAACTTCAGTGTTCTTGTTAGAGTTTAATCCGCAAAATATGATGTGTCCAACATCCAAAACGGCTTCACCTTCTACAAGACAACGTTTCCTGTCGCCGATATAGTCTTGAATTTGACATAAATTCAATGATTTGTTCTCCATTTAGTCCTCGCTGTACTCGTCACCAATAGAAACTGAATCAGCTCAGGCACTGAACAAACACGTAATTGGTTCGTTATCTGTTTCGGCAGCCATCTTGGATCAAAAACAGCACCCTCTGTCAGATTTGGCGCTTGCCAATACCTAGTGTTACCACCCGTCCGGTTTTCACCCGGACAGTCTGGGAATTGACTCACTGTCCGGGTGAACTATTAATTTTGTCCGGGAATTTCATAGAAATTGTGAAATTACAATGAAACAAAGTTCTTGCAAATATTTTTACAAATTTACACTATCTTAACAGTGAAAGAACTCACACTCACTGAAACTCATCTGCAATTCTGCCATGTTAGGCATGCAACCTGTCAATCTTTTTGTTTTTGCATGTATAGTACGATTATACACGTCTCTCTAATATCCAATAGAGCTAAGTCATCTGTACCTGTTCTTTCCTAATTTATGTTACTCCTACGCAAGTCCATAGTCCCTAACTGTAACTGATTTAGAACCACCATACATGTTATTCTTTGCATTGTAAAATGACATTGCGCATGCGTCAGGAACTTCTGTTCGAACAAACCTGACCTGCCTTCTGGGTCAGCGATTTTCAAAAGATGGCAACACTTTCAATACCATCAAATATAATTAACATTACAATTATCATCCTTTTTTATTTTAAATTTAAATTAATTGCCTATTGGTTTGTTATATTATAAAACAGCTGAGGATAATAATCTTAATGTTATCTAAAGTACTTGTAAAGTCTATGTTTTGTTTCAAGTAAGTTTTGTTATTTTTCTTGGTGTAAAAACTATTAACATTTAAAGACAGTTTTTTAAATACACACTGATATTCTGTAATGAAGTTGTAGAGAATGTCAAAAACTTTATACATGAGATTGTGTTCTGAATGTAACTAGTTAGTGACATTCAGAACTACTATTAATTTATAACACATTTATTATTGTAAACCAATGAAGAATGGCTTTTTTTAAATATTTGAATCACTGAATTAATGCAGTACAGTGGTCAATGGCAAATAAGAAATAATGAGATCATTGTCATGTCATTTTTAGTGATTCAAATTATTAGTAGTTTTAAACACTATGTTTTAGTTATTGTTACATTTTTCCTAAAACAGAACTTTATTTTAGTCACTATATATATACATAATGGCGGTAATATAAAAAAATCCACTCTCATAGCCTGCAATGTGTTTGAAAGTTGAATTATGTATGTTCTGTTTGAGAATTAGAGTTTTGAGGAGATAAACATGAGGTATACTTATATGCCTACATATATAGAATTTTACTCTGAAGAAAAAAAAATACAGAAGTCTAACAAGGATTTAAAGATTGTTTTTTACTGTATGAAGTATTGTATAGCATTTTAATCTTAATTTTATAATTTTGAATTTTAAAACATTTTATTATATTAAAAGTTTTATTTTTCAGATGTGAAGAAATATAAAACTGCATTAATTTGCCAAAATACTCCAACATCAAATTCAAAAGATGATGTTATAAATTTTCTACATTTGGTTTCATTTGATGCTTTATTAGATAATTATCTTAATGAAGAATTCAAGGTAAGTTTTAAAATAATTATCCATTTTAACTGAAAAATTTTGTGCAAAGTAATATGGAGTTTGATGTACTATAAAATTCTAAGAATCTCTTTGTAAAATTTAAGTGCTCATGAAATTTTGAAGACATTTGTCATTTCAGAGCTATTTGAAATAATAAATATAATATTTTTAATAAATATAAATATAATATTTCAGAGCTATTTGAAATAATAAATATAATTTGAAATAATCAATATAATATTATATTATATTGATGATATAATGACATAAGCCCAATTTTTTATCTTACCAATTGGCAAGCACCAAATTCTTCAGAGGGCGCTGTTTTTGAGCTAAGGAACCGACCATGTGTTTGTTCAGTGCCTGAGCCGATTCAGTTTCTATTGGTGATGACTACTGCGAGGACCAAATGGAGAACAAATCATTGAATTTATGTCAAATTCTAGACTATATCGGCGACAGGAAACATTGTCTTGTAGAAGGTGAAGCCGTTTTGGATATATGAGAACGTACACACACACACACGCACACTCACAAAACATAATGTGTGCTACAAACTTTTGACTGGCCTATGTTGTATAAGTGCTGAATGACTCAGCAGGGTAGCCTTCAGATTGGCACTAATTTTAACTATTATGATAAATAAAACTATGTTTTTATATTGGAACATGGTGTATACTGCTTAAAATATTTAAATACTTCTCACCTGTTAACGTGTAATAAACATGCTATCACATATTTACAAAAACCAGACAGCCCCACTTTGCATGTGCATTCTCCCTGTAATTGAGATGCATTAAAATGTCAATATCTGAGATTGCAACACTAAAGCAACAACATGAACTTCAGTGTTCTTGTTAGAGTTTAATCCGCAAAATATGATGTGTCCAACATCCAAAACGGCTTCACCTTCTACAAGACAACGTTTCCTGTCGCCGATATAGTCTTGAATTTGACATAAATTCAATGATTTGTTCTCCATTTAGTCCTCGCTGTACTCGTCACCAATAGAAACTGAATCAGCTCAGGCACTGAACAAACACGTAATTGGTTCGTTATCTGTTTCGGCAGCCATCTTGGATCAAAAACAGCACCCTCTGTCAGATTTGGCGCTTGCCAATACCTAGTGTTACCACCCGTCCGGTTTTCACCCGGACAGTCTGGGAATTGACTCACTGTCCGGGTGAACTATTAATTTTGTCCGGGAATTTCATAGAAATTGTGAAATTACAATGAAACAAAGTTCTTGCAAATATTTTTACAAATTTACACTATCTTAACAGTGAAAGAACTCACACTCACTGAAACTCATCTGCAATTCTGCCATGTTAGGCATGCAACCTGTCAACCTTTTTGTTTTTGCATGTATAGTACGATTATACACGTCTCTCTAATATCCAATAGAGCTAAGTCATCTGTACCTGTTCTTTCCTAATTTATGTTACTCCTACGCAAGTCCATAGTCCCTAACTGTAACTGATTTAGAACCACCATACATGTTATTCTTTGCATTGTAAAATGACATTGCGCATGCGTCAGGAACTTCTGTTCGAACAAACCTGACCTGCCTTCTGGGTCAGCGATTTTCAAAAGATGGCAACACTTTCAATACCATCAAATATAATTAACATTACAATTATCATCCTTTTTTATTTTAAATTTAAATTAATTGCCTATTGGTTTGTTATATTATAAAACAGCTGAGGATAATAATCTTAATGTTATCTAAAGTACTTGTAAAGTCTATGTTTTGTTTCAAGTAAGTTTTGTTATTTTTCTTGGTGTAAAAACTATTAACATTTAAAGACAGTTTTTTAAATACACACTGATATTCTGTAATGAAGTTGTAGAGAATGTCAAAAACTTTATACATGAGATTGTGTTCTGAATGTAACTAGTTAGTGACATTCAGAACTACTATTAATTTATAACACATTTATTATTGTAAACCAATGAAGAATGGCTTTTTTTAAATATTTGAATCACTGAATTAATGCAGTACAGTGGTCAATGGCAAATAAGAAATAATATGCTTCTTTCACTAATAATAGTGGAACCATTTTGTAAAAAGAGTAGAATCTTAGAAACAATTATATTTCTAAAACACTATTTTTAGTTAATAAAAACAAAATTGATAGTTTTTCATTAAAACTAGCTTATTGTATTAACTTCTAAGTTGTAAGGCCCTTCTCACTTGCAACATGTATGAACCAATCCACTGCTCTCAGACAAATATCTCAATAACAAATTAAATGGGCAATTATTTAAGATCATATCAGAACCATATCCAAACTTAACATATGACAATTTGAGGCATCAGTGGCACATTGTACTATGGGTAAAAAAGAACAATTTTCTGGATTTCTCATCAGCAAGGCCTTGCAAAATGTAGGTAAACATATTTAGTGTTTTGCTACATTTTACAGTTCTTTAAGATATTCTCCCAAATTCTTTGGGAGGATTTTATGCTCACTGCACATAAAATAAAAGTAAGTAAATAAGATTTTTAAAAGTATCAGAAATCTTTATCCATTCTATTACATAATTAATATATTCTATTTAATGAATTAAGATATTTTTATTTTATACTTATATAATTAAAAAAAAAACAAAATCAATTAATATTTCATGTTAATCTAACTTTACAATTATCATTTTAAATATATTTACTCTTAAATATGAAGGTGGATTAAATTATTGAAACTGGAAAACTGTAACATATATTTTAATAGTAGTATGTTTGGTTATATAAGAAGTCAATGTTCTTCTAGCATATGTCAATAGGACACTAACACCCAGATTTTACAATAGATGTAGTCTTGTTGCTATGTGAGTGTTGCTGTTTAATGACAGTATCTGAAATCTGAAGTGATATACTCATGAGACACATTTTAAGGATTCAAAAACATGATTATCACTTGGTGATAAATTGGATGAATATGGAGAATGAATTAATACTTCAAATCTTTCAACTCAAATAAGGTCAATATTAAAAAATGTTTGTCTGTCCTGAGACCATCAGAAGGTTCTTTTTGACATTTCTTAGACCATAAACAATGAGAGAAACATTCATGTGCTGATGCAATGTGGTTGTTAAATTCAGAAATTTCAACGAATTTAGTTTACTGTTTATTCGTGTCTGTCTGCAGCATGATAATGCAAGACCTGTAAATTAAGATATGAAATGTGAAGTTTACCTCATCCTCTATATTTATTTGATTTAGCTCTAAGTGATTATTATATTTTTGGACACTTATAAAAAAGGTCCCATAAGGATATCTTTTTTAGTCCAATGAAAAAGTTAACTTGTTATCAGAGGAATTACTGTATATTGATGATTGATAATTGTGGTTTTTGCTATTAAACAATGAAAATTTTTTTTGTTTTTATTTCACTAATTGTTTTATATGTTGTTCATATTACTAGTTTATTAAAATATATAACATATTTTCAGAATGATAAGTTTGAAGATTTAGAATTAGAAATAAATTCTTCTGAATTTAGTGAGGTGAGAATGGATTTTTGAAAAACTTTCTTTTAAAGTCTAAAAATTTTTACTTAATAATATATACATACAAGAATGAGTTATTGAAATTGGGACCAAGGTAACTCAGTGGCGTACTGTGGGTGTCAGCCGCCAGGGGCAGAGGAAAATTTCGGCCTCCTTTTATTTAGGTATTTCAATTTAAAAGACCAAAATTCAGTTTTGTCACAGAACAAGCAGTGAAAAATTCGGTGGTAGTGCAGCGACCTGTTTAAAATAGTTCTATTGGATATTAGTGGTGTATATGAATGTGAATGAATCGTACAAGAAAAAAAGAAAAGGTCAATATGTTTCACGGGAATTCCTCGGATGAAAAAGCTACTAGTTCACCCGGCGAGCCGATTCCCGGACTGTCCACAAGATGCAAGTATAGATTAGGATGTTTCAAATTTTTACAAGATATTATTATTATTTATTGTGAAATTTTGCTGCCCCCTAAAAAGTGCCCCTTCCACCCCCATTACGGTACGCCACTGAGGTAACTGTTGTAATATACATACCCTGCTCATGTTTCCAGCAGACAATTGTATGAGTTACAAACATTTTCAGCCTTTTTGAGAAGTCTGCTTCAGGTTATTCTCTTGTTTGAACTTCATTGAAATTTCAAATTTTCAGAAGACATTCTATTTTGAAATGTTTAGTAATTCTTTTACATAGCATGTTTTTAAAAAAGAAAATATAGTGCATGTCTAGACTTATATCCAAAAATGTAAACAAGTAATTTAAGTTACTACTATTAATAAAGAATGTGCCTTAGGTTAGGATCATGAAAAATCATGTTCTCTTGTTGGGTGTTATTCTTGTTCCTTGTTTTAATGGGATATCCAACAAAGACTGCCAAGCCATAGATAATGAAGAATACTCCTTATGATTAATGCATTTATCTCTCATACTTGCTTTAAAAATCTCTAAAATTTTCACTATTCTCAGACAGTGCTCTTCAAATACAGTGGACCTTCATTATAGTGCTGCTCGCTATACTGTACACTTGGTTATAGCGCAGGCGATGTTTGCGACGCAATAAGATCAAACACATTTATACAGGTCTGTGTTGCATTAGTGAGTAGTTCATTTTATTGTTACTGCATATTGAGTAATTGTGTATGTACTGAGTTCCTGCATGTATTTTGAATAGTGTTTAATTATTGTATGCATGATGAGTAAAAGAAAAGCTTGACATTATTGCTAAAGTAAAGAGCGGAGTTTTGAAAGCAAACATAAGAAGCAAATACAGCATACCTGAAGGAACCGTAAGGGGTTGTATGGCAGAGGAGACAAAACTGAAATCATTTGTTGATAAGCTTGACCAAGACGCTGGGCTTACTCAAAAAAAGACAAGACTTGGAAAAAATCAAAATGTTGACAATTGCCTTTATGCATGGTTTGTGCAAAAAAGAAGTGAAGGTATTCCTGTATGTGGAACTGCTTTAAAGTTGCAGGCTGATGAAAAATTCCATGTAAGCTTAAAAGCAGAAGAAGATTTTAAGGCTTCTGGTTGTGGTGTTGGCAAAAACAACATGGCATCTTCCAAATTTCCATTTCTGGTGAAAATTCTAGTGATATTGAAGGTGCTGCAGAATTTTCCAAATAGTTCACAATTTCCATTAAGAAAGAAGGGTATACTGATGCACAAGTTTATAACTGTGATGAGACTGCATTATATTACAGAATGTTGCCAAGTAAAACCTTAGATCTAAAAAGTAACCCACAAAAGTCAGGATTAAAACTAAGCAAGGAAAGGATAACAGCTTTATTTTGTGTAAATAAAGCTGGCAATCACAAGTTGACTCCACTCATTATAGGTAAAAGTCAAAACCCACGATGTTTCAAGTCAATCAATATAAATTCCCTGCCAGTTGTTTATAAAACAGCATAAACGCTTGGATGACTTCTAACATATTTTATGACTGGTTTCACAATTCCTTTGTTCCCTCTGTGCAAAAATTTCTGAGAGGATTGAGTCTAGATCCAAAAGCTTTCCTTCTCTTAGATAATTGCCCAGCTCATCTACCGGTTGATAACCTTGTGTCTGACGATGGTAAAATAATATATACTACTGCTCTTATACAACCCTTAGATCAAGGCATTATTAGTGCTTTCAAAACAAATTACCAAAGAGAAATGATGAAGTCATTATTAGCATCAGACATTGATGTCAACATATTTTTAAAAAAATGGATCTCAAAGACGTGTCCTACAGTATTGGACTTGCCTGGAAGGCAATCACATCAGAGACAATTAGAAACTGTTGAAAAAAATTAAATGAATCTAATAATCAAGCCGATTCGAGATCAGCTTGATTATTAGATCAAATCAAATCATTCTGATCACAACACATTCAGATTCAGCTTTAGATAATATCTTCACTGAGGCTGAAATTTCTCGTATCCAGGAAATATTGAATGAGCCAGAAATAACTAATGATTCTTTGACTGATTGGTTAGATGTTGATGCTAGAGAAGATATTTGTCAGAAAATGACTGATGAAATGATTATCGAATCCATTTGCAGTGACGAAGATTGTCAAGAAAAAACAGATGATGATGAAGAAAGTGCCAGTGGGATAGCTGATATACTACTAACAACCAAAGAAGCAATAATAGCCATGGAAACTGTTATAAAATGGGTTGAATCAGAAGAAAATATAACAGTGTCAGATTGTTGCAATTAGCATCTTTCAAAAGGAAAATGATACAGAAGTTATAAAAAAGCAAACAAAAATTACTCACTTTTTTAAGTGATGTTTTGTAATTGAAATGATGTCGAATACATAGATTTTAGTCAAGTTATAGATAGTGTTTGTTTTTACATACAGTACTGTATTTTCAAGCACACCTTATGTAGGTAAATAAAATAATACTGTACATATACAGTATGTACTGTACTTATTAATATGTATAACTATGTTATGTGAATTTTAATAAAACACTTAATAAATAAATTGGTTTTTTATTAAAATACATAATATGTATGTAATTGATGGGATGTTTCAGTTTATAGCTCAAATTGTTCTGAGTAAATTTATTGTGTTGCCACTGCGCCACTCAGTATAATGCAGTTCACCCTATAACACGGGAGTTGATTCCCGCCTAACATGTGCGTTATATCAGGGGTTCACTGTACTGGCTTTAAGAGTTGCATTTTCAACCCACTAACATATTGTGCTAAGGTGGTACATGTTTTATGTATCAATGTCATGCTGGTGTTCCTTAATCCTGTATGTTTGTGAATCATATGTTGTGACAGTACGCCATTGTATATATATACAATGGCGTACTGTCACAACATTGTATATATATTATTTTAAACATAGTTTTAGAATATTTCCCTTTGTTCTTTGTTCCTTCTTGCTTCTAGAACTTTCTTTATTAACTCTTTTCCCTTGGGTGGTGAGGACCAATTCATGAAACTACAGAAAATTAAAAGAGAAAGAGGACCTGAGGGCATGAGTGAGAGGTTGTGGAACTTTCATTCAACTGGACCTCAGAATGGGAGGACATGGAAGATTGTGCTCTGTGTTGTCAAGAGTAGCTAGACTGAAGGAACAGTGCTAGCCTGATAAGAACTTGAATTTTATTGTAATCATGATAAAAGGAGTATCAACTAGGTACAAAGGAAAATCAAAGGAAGATGACAATGAGCTGTCAGTCTGATCGAGTTCCACATGGCCTCCCACTGAAATTGTGCAAAGTTCCATATATCCTGGGTATTTTATTCTTTCCTATAATCTATTTCACCATTTATCACTCTCCCCATTATCTTCCCTCTTCTCTTAGTTTAAGTTAGTTTGTAAATACAGTTATAATCTTTCCTGATACCATTTATAGTATATGTCGCAAATGGTGTGTATTTATTCATTGTCTGCTGTTGATCTTCATTATTGCCCTGTTGTAATTATTTACTATTGAGTTGGAATCCAAAAGAATCTGCACATATTCTGTAAAATAAAACACTTTGTTTAACTATATGTTATGCATAGTATTCGTTTGGTATGTTCTCCTTTGTTGGTCAATGTGTATTTTGTGGGATTATCCCAAGGTACACTAGCTGGCAATTAAACTTGTTGTAAACTGTAGGTATCAAGTAAACTCCTGGAATCTTATCTGTATCATTTTATCCTTACCGTTACTTAATGTTCAGAAAATTTTGGAATTCCAATGGTAAGTTATATCAGCATTGTTGAATTTAGCTGTTTGTGTACAGATGGAAGTTAGTCCTGCGATCATAGTCTAACACCTGCATGTTTATATTGCAGCCATTCAATTGCTGGTTATGTATGATTACTGAGAGCCCTTTCATTTTTCATGTTATGTTGTCTAAGTTGCCTAAGTGTGTGACCACAATGTTTTTAATGCATTCCAATTCTTTCATCTTACTTGTAATGCTGGATTAATATGTATGGGCCATTTTAACTGATGCTCTACATGTGACTACTTTATATTGAAACAGGTCATTGAAGATTGCTGGAATATAAAATGGTAAATGTGTATCTTGTAGTAAACCTGTGTTTCCACCAGGCCATCTTTAAATGATATGTCTATGTCAGGAAAATGTGCTTTGGTGTTGCTATGCTGATCTAATTCAATGATAGGGGGTTATTGTTAAATGTATGTACAACTCTGCATATATCAGGTGTAGAGTTCCAGATAATAAGGATATCATCAACATAAGAACTTCATAGATGATATTTGGTATTACTTCCAGCAATGCAGTTTGTTCCATTTCCTAGTTATCATTTCACAAGTCCCCTGAGAGTAGGCTTTCCATGAGGCTCCCTGTTGACACAGATACAACTGATTGTTGAATTTAAATACAATGTATAGGAAAGAGTGTAAACTAAATCTAAAATCTTACAGTGAAACAAATCAGCAGAAGGAATCATCAACAGCAAGAAGTCTCAAAGGATACAGCGATGTGTTCCTCTTAAAACCAGTATTTGAAGAGCACTGTCTGAGAATATTGGAAATTTTAGAGATTTTTAAAGCAAGTATGAGAGAGAAATGCATTAATCATAAGGAGTATTCTTCATTATCTATGGCTTGGCAGTCTTTATTGGATATCCCACTAAAACAAGGAGCAAGAATAACACCCAACAAGAGAACATGATTTTTCATGATTCTAACCTAAGGCACAGTCTTTATTAATAGTAGTACCTTAAATTACAGTAATACCTCGACTTACGCAAACCCGGATTTTCAAATCTCGTAGATTCCTCTTTTGTTTGAGCGCCACACAACTCTTGATTACTCACTCCCCCCCACACTATTGTTCAGCTTACATGTTCGGATGTGTTGCTTGGAATCGACGCATAACTACAATTTATTTTATGTTATTTATTTCTGTATTTGTTATATCTATGGAAACTTGAGAGACTCTACTATGTCATCCAAACAAAGTAGAACTGATTCTTCTGCATCAAACAAGAAAAAACACTTTATCTTTGGAATGTAAAGTTAACATTATTAACTTCGATGCAAAAATGAAAATTTGTGAATTGGCAAAGAAATTTGGCTACTGGAATCGATGGTCAGAACAATTATAAAAGGTAAAGAAAAAATTCTTGAAGCTGTGAAAAATGTTCAATCTTTAAATTCAAGCATCATTCGTAAACTTCACAGTATTATTGCTGAGATGAAAACAATGCTAAAATTATGGTGTGATAATCAAGTAAATGTGAAAAATTGTCCTGTTGATCAGAACAAGGTGTGCTCTCAAGATAAGCTGGTTTTTGAGAAATTGAAAGAGGATGCTGAAGAGGTGGCTAAAGATGAAGAGTTTAAAGCTAGTAACAGTTGATTCAGCCAATTCAAAAGTCGCTGTAATTGGCATAGCATTGCAGAAAGTGGAGAGGCAGCAAATGCTGATAAAGAGGCTACGTCTTACTATCCAGAGAAATTCAAAGCTATGATAGATGAAGGTGGCTATACCAGCCAAACCATATTCAACGTGGATGAGACTGGCCTGTTCTGGAAGAAGATGCGTAAAAGAACGTTTATCATGCATGAAGAGAAAACCTTTCCAGGTTTTAAGGCCACCAAAGATCGATTGACAATGATGGTTGGCATGAATGCAGCTGGTGATTGTAAGTTAAAACCTCTCTTAGTTTATCACTTAAAAAATCCAAGAGCATTGAAAAAAAATCTAAAGCTGGCTTGCCTGTGATTTGGAAGTCAAATCATAAAGCTTGTGTGGCAGCTTCCCTTTTTGAGAACTGGTTTGGTCATCACTTCATACCTGAAGTCAAACGTTATTGTCAATCTAAACAAATTCCATTTAAAGTGATGCTCATAATCAACAACGCACCAGGTCACCCCCCTGCAACTTTAACTAATTTTGACCCAAGTGTGAAAGTTGTATTTTTGCCACCAAATACAACCAGCTTGTTTCAACTGATGGATCAGGGAGTCATCAAAACATTCAAAGCTCATTACACAAGATGATCGTTTGCACATCTGCATGAAGCTATGAGACAAAACAACGAGCTCTCTGTTAAAGACTTTTGGAAACATTTTTTTCTAAATTACTGTTTTCTTTAGTCTCCAGCCCCAAATAAAAATAATTTGTATGTATTTGTATGTGAAATTATACTCCAACTTATGCAAATTTGACTTACGCGGTTATCGCTTGGTCCCACCTATCACATAAGTTTGGGGTATTACTGTATTTGTTTACATTTTTGGATATAAGTCTAAACATGCACTATATTTTCTTTTTTAAAAACATGCTATATAAAAGAATTACTAAACATTTCAAAATAGAATGTCTTCTGAAAATTTGAAATTTCAATGAAGTTCAAACAAGAGAATAACCTGAAGCAGACTTCTCAAAAAGGCTGAAAATGTTTGTAACTCATACAGTGGTCTGCTGGAAACATATGCAGGATGTGTATATTATAATAAAATATATACAAATGATAAGGCCAAATTAACTATTGGCTAGAACTTGGATGATTAATTTCATACATACTATGTAATATGAACTAAAGGTAGTCAGGTGAGTTGCCATCTCATATTGAGTTTAATAATTGAAAACTTTGTGGCAAGATGTTAACTCAGTTTCCTTGTTGAACATTGTTGAATTTAGCACAGGACAAATATAATTTCCAAACTTTTGATTGACAACTTTTCATTGACTGGCCTTTTAACCTCTATTATTTGAAAAGAGTTTCTTGTCTCAAAAATTGTTGAAACTAGATCTCAAATAGTATAGCAGAGATAACAGAGACTTAACACACTGCTACTGATAACATCAAAATGGCACTTCTATCATCAGAATGCAACTTTGTTACTGGATTGCATTTCTGTACACAAGACCCTCATCAGCCATACAAAAAAATATATAGATATTTGTTGTAGAGCAAATTTGCAGAGGAATTTACAATATAAACATACCTGTTCAAGATTTACTTCCACCCACATCGCATTGTACAATGAGTATTCATTATAAACAGACCTAAATTAATATAATTTAAGTTCCAATACAAAACATTTTAATAATATAATACCAATTTGAAAACTGTCAATTAAAATACAGTAGACCCCCTATAACGTGGGTTCCTATAATGGAGATTCCTATAACGTGGCGAAAAAATTGTGACAATATTCGTATAAAGACGCTAAAAGGAACGCGTAAAACATGGTAAAACGTCATTGCCAATTCGTCATCGTGGACGAGCAGTCGAACTACTTTCCATTGTCCAGCGCCATGCTACGGAGAGTTTAGGCGGGTAATTGAGTTTACTANTACTATTAATTTATAACACATTTATTATTGTAAACCAATGAAGAATGGCTTTTTTTAAATATTTGAATCACTGAATTAATGCAGTACAGTGGTCAATGGCAAATAAGAAATAATGAGATCATTGTCATGTCATTTTTAGTGATTCAAATTATTAGTAGTTTTAAACACTATGTTTTAGTTATTGTTACATTTTTCCTAAAACAGAACTTTATTTTAGTCACTATATATATACATAATGGCGGTAATATAAAAAAATCCACTCTCATAGCCTGCAATGTGTTTGAAAGTTGAATTATGTATGTTCTGTTTGAGAATTAGAGTTTTGAGGAGATAAACATGAGGTATACTTATATGCCTACATATATAGAATTTTACTCTGAAGAAAAAAAAATACAGAAGTCTAACAAGGATTTAAAGATTGTTTTTTACTGTATGAAGTATTGTATAGCATTTTAATCTTAATTTTATAATTTTGAATTTTAAAACATTTTATTATATTAAAAGTTTTATTTTTCAGATGTGAAGAAATATAAAACTGCATTAATTTGCCAAAATACTCCAACATCAAATTCAAAAGATGATGTTATAAATTTTCTACATTTGGTTTCATTTGATGCTTTATTAGATAATTATCTTAATGAAGAATTCAAGGTAAGTTTTAAAATAATTATCCATTTTAACTGAAAAATTTTGTGCAAAGTAATATGGAGTTTGATGTACTATAAAATTCTAAGAATCTCTTTGTAAAATTTAAGTGCTCATGAAATTTTGAAGACATTTGTCATTTCAGAGCTATTTGAAATAATAAATATAATATTTTTAATAAATATAAATATAATATTTCAGAGCTATTTGAAATAATAAATATAATTTGAAATAATCAATATAATATTATATTATATTGATGATATAATGACATAAGCCCAATTTTTTATCTTACCAATTGGCAAGCACCAAATTCTTCAGAGGGCGCTGTTTTTGAGCTAAGGAACCGACCATGTGTTTGTTCAGTGCCTGAGCCGATTCAGTTTCTATTGGTGATGACTACTGCGAGGACCAAATGGAGAACAAATCATTGAATTTATGTCAAATTCTAGACTATATCGGTGACAGGAAACATTGTCTTGTAGAAGGTGAAGCCGTTTTGGATATATGAGAACGTACACACACACACACACGCACACTCACAAAACATAATGTGTGCTACAAACTTTTGACTGGCCTATGTTGTATAAGTGCTGAATGACTCAGCAGGGTAGCCTTCAGATTGGCACTAATTTTAACTATTATGATAAATAAAACTATGTTTTTATATTGGAACATGGTGTATACTGCTTAAAATATTTAAATACTTCTCACCTGTTAACGTGTAATAAACATGCTATCACATATTTACAAAAACCAGACAGCCCCACTTTGCATGTGCATTCTCCCTGTAATTGAGATGCATTAAAATGTCAATATCTGAGATTGCAACACTAAAGCAACAACATGAACTTCAGTGTTCTTGTTAGAGTTTAATCCGCAAAATATGATGTGTCCAACATCCAAAACGGCTTCACCTTCTACAAGACAACGTTTCCTGTCGCCGATATAGTCTTGAATTTGACATAAATTCAATGATTTGTTCTCCATTTAGTCCTCGCTGTACTCGTCACCAATAGAAACTGAATCAGCTCAGGCACTGAACAAACACGTAATTGGTTCGTTATCTGTTTCGGCAGCCATCTTGGATCAAAAACAGCACCCTCTGTCAGATTTGGCGCTTGCCAATACCTAGTGTTACCACCCGTCCGGTTTTCACCCGGACAGTCTGGGAATTGACTCACTGTCCGGGTGAACTATTAATTTTGTCCGGGAATTTCATAGAAATTGTGAAATTACAATGAAACAAAGTTCTTGCAAATATTTTTACAAATTTACACTATCTTAACAGTGAAAGAACTCACACTCACTGAAACTCATCTGCAATTCTGCCATGTTAGGCATGCAACCTGTCAATCTTTTTGTTTTTGCATGTATAGTACGATTATACACGTCTCTCTAATATCCAATAGAGCTAAGTCATCTGTACCTGTTCTTTCCTAATTTATGTTACTCCTACGCAAGTCCATAGTCCCTAACTGTAACTGATTTAGAACCACCATACATGTTATTCTTTGCATTGTAAAATGACATTGCGCATGCGTCAGGAACTTCTGTTCGAACAAACCTGACCTGCCTTCTGGGTCAGCGATTTTCAAAAGATGGCAACACTTTCAATACCATCAAATATAATTAACATTACAATTATCATCCTTTTTTATTTTAAATTTAAATTAATTGCCTATTGGTTTGTTATATTATAAAACAGCTGAGGATAATAATCTTAATGTTATCTAAAGTACTTGTAAAGTCTATGTTTTGTTTCAAGTAAGTTTTGTTATTTTTCTTGGTGTAAAAACTATTAACATTTAAAGACAGTTTTTTAAATACACACTGATATTCTGTAATGAAGTTGTAGAGAATGTCAAAAACTTTATACATGAGATTGTGTTCTGAATGTAACTAGTTAGTGACATTCAGAACTACTATTAATTTATAACACATTTATTATTGTAAACCAATGAAGAATGGCTTTTTTTAAATATTTGAATCACTGAATTAATGCAGTACAGTGGTCAATGGCAAATAAGAAATAATATGCTTCTTTCACTAATAATAGTGGAACCATTTTGTAAAAAGAGTAGAATCTTAGAAACAATTATATTTCTAAAACACTATTTTTAGTTAATAAAAACAAAATTGATAGTTTTTCATTAAAACTAGCTTATTGTATTAACTTCTAAGTTGTAAGGCCCTTCTCACTTGCAACATGTATGAACCAATCCACTGCTCTCAGACAAATATCTCAATAACAAATTAAATGGGCAATTATTTAAGATCATATCAGAACCATATCCAAACTTAACATATGACAATTTGAGGCATCAGTGGCACATTGTACTATGGGTAAAAAAGAACAATTTTCTGGATTTCTCATCAGCAAGGCCTTGCAAAATGTAGGTAAACATATTTAGTGTTTTGCTACATTTTACAGTTCTTTAAGATATTCTCCCAAATTCTTTGGGAGGATTTTATGCTCACTGCACATAAAATAAAAGTAAGTAAATAAGATTTTTAAAAGTATCAGAAATCTTTATCCATTCTATTACATAATTAATATATTCTATTTAATGAATTAAGATATTTTTATTTTATACTTATATAATTAAAAAAAAAACAAAATCAATTAATATTTCATGTTAATCTAACTTTACAATTATCATTTTAAATATATTTACTCTTAAATATGAAGGTGGATTAAATTATTGAAACTGGAAAACTGTAACATATATTTTAATAGTAGTATGTTTGGTTATATAAGAAGTCAATGTTCTTCTAGCATATGTCAATAGGACACTAACACCCAGATTTTACAATAGATGTAGTCTTGTTGCTATGTGAGTGTTGCTGTTTAATGACAGTATCTGAAATCTGAAGTGATATACTCATGAGACACATTTTAAGGATTCAAAAACATGATTATCACTTGGTGATAAATTGGATGAATATGGAGAATGAATTAATACTTCAAATCTTTCAACTCAAATAAGGTCAATATTAAAAAATGTTTGTCTGTCCTGAGACCATCAGAAGGTTCTTTTTGACATTTCTTAGACCATAAACAATGAGAGAAACATTCATGTGCTGATGCAATGTGGTTGTTAAATTCAGAAATTTCAACGAATTTAGTTTACTGTTTATTCGTGTCTGTCTGCAGCATGATAATGCAAGACCTGTAAATTAAGATATGAAATGTGAAGTTTACCTCATCCTCTATATTTATTTGATTTAGCTCTAAGTGATTATTATATTTTTGGACACTTATAAAAAAGGTCCCATAAGGATATCTTTTTTAGTCCAATGAAAAAGTTAACTTGTTATCAGAGGAATTACTGTATATTGATGATTGATAATTGTGGTTTTTGCTATTAAACAATGAAAATTTTTTTTGTTTTTATTTCACTAATTGTTTTATATGTTGTTCATATTACTAGTTTATTAAAATATATAACATATTTTCAGAATGATAAGTTTGAAGATTTAGAATTAGAAATAAATTCTTCTGAATTTAGTGAGGTGAGAATGGATTTTTGAAAAACTTTCTTTTAAAGTCTAAAAATTTTTACTTAATAATATATACATACAAGAATGAGTTATTGAAATTGGGACCAAGGTAACTCAGTGGCGTACTGTGGGTGTCAGCCGCCAGGGGCAGAGGAAAATTTCGGCCTCCTTTTATTTAGGTATTTCAATTTAAAAGACCAAAATTCAGTTTTGTCACAGAACAAGCAGTGAAAAATTCGGTGGTAGTGCAGCGACCTGTTTAAAATAGTTCTATTGGATATTAGTGGTGTATATGAATGTGAATGAATCGTACAAGAAAAAAAGAAAAGGTCAATATGTTTCACGGGAATTCCTCGGATGAAAAAGCTACTAGTTCACCCGGCGAGCCGATTCCCGGACTGTCCACAAGATGCAAGTATAGATTAGGATGTTTCAAATTTTTACAAGATATTATTATTATTTATTGTGAAATTTTGCTGCCCCCTAAAAAGTGCCCCTTCCACCCCCATTACGGTACGCCACTGAGGTAACTGTTGTAATATACATACCCTGCTCATGTTTCCAGCAGACAATTGTATGAGTTACAAACATTTTCAGCCTTTTTGAGAAGTCTGCTTCAGGTTATTCTCTTGTTTGAACTTCATTGAAATTTCAAATTTTCAGAAGACATTCTATTTTGAAATGTTTAGTAATTCTTTTACATAGCATGTTTTTAAAAAAGAAAATATAGTGCATGTCTAGACTTATATCCAAAAATGTAAACAAGTAATTTAAGTTACTACTATTAATAAAGAATGTGCCTTAGGTTAGGATCATGAAAAATCATGTTCTCTTGTTGGGTGTTATTCTTGTTCCTTGTTTTAATGGGATATCCAACAAAGACTGCCAAGCCATAGATAATGAAGAATACTCCTTATGATTAATGCATTTATCTCTCATACTTGCTTTAAAAATCTCTAAAATTTTCACTATTCTCAGACAGTGCTCTTCAAATACAGTGGACCTTCATTATAGTGCTGCTCGCTATACTGTACACTTGGTTATAGCGCAGGCGATGTTTGCGACGCAATAAGATCAAACACATTTATACAGGTCTGTGTTGCATTAGTGAGTAGTTCATTTTATTGTTACTGCATATTGAGTAATTGTGTATGTACTGAGTTCCTGCATGTATTTTGAATAGTGTTTAATTATTGTATGCATGATGAGTAAAAGAAAAGCTTGACATTATTGCTAAAGTAAAGAGCGGAGTTTTGAAAGCAAACATAAGAAGCAAATACAGCATACCTGAAGGAACCGTAAGGGGTTGTATGGCAGAGGAGACAAAACTGAAATCATTTGTTGATAAGCTTGACCAAGACGCTGGGCTTACTCAAAAAAAGACAAGACTTGGAAAAAATCAAAATGTTGACAATTGCCTTTATGCATGGTTTGTGCAAAAAAGAAGTGAAGGTATTCCTGTATGTGGAACTGCTTTAAAGTTGCAGGCTGATGAAAAATTCCATGTAAGCTTAAAAGCAGAAGAAGATTTTAAGGCTTCTGGTTGTGGTGTTGGCAAAAACAACATGGCATCTTCCAAATTTCCATTTCTGGTGAAAATTCTAGTGATATTGAAGGTGCTGCAGAATTTTCCAAATAGTTCACAATTTCCATTAAGAAAGAAGGGTATACTGATGCACAAGTTTATAACTGTGATGAGACTGCATTATATTACAGAATGTTGCCAAGTAAAACCTTAGATCTAAAAAGTAACCCACAAAAGTCAGGATTAAAACTAAGCAAGGAAAGGATAACAGCTTTATTTTGTGTAAATAAAGCTGGCAATCACAAGTTGACTCCACTCATTATAGGTAAAAGTCAAAACCCACGATGTTTCAAGTCAATCAATATAAATTCCCTGCCAGTTGTTTATAAAACAGCATAAACGCTTGGATGACTTCTAACATATTTTATGACTGGTTTCACAATTCCTTTGTTCCCTCTGTGCAAAAATTTCTGAGAGGATTGAGTCTAGATCCAAAAGCTTTCCTTCTCTTAGATAATTGCCCAGCTCATCTACCGGTTGATAACCTTGTGTCTGACGATGGTAAAATAATATATACTACTGCTCTTATACAACCCTTAGATCAAGGCATTATTAGTGCTTTCAAAACAAATTACCAAAGAGAAATGATGAAGTCATTATTAGCATCAGACATTGATGTCAACATATTTTTAAAAAAATGGATCTCAAAGACGTGTCCTACAGTATTGGACTTGCCTGGAAGGCAATCACATCAGAGACAATTAGAAACTGTTGAAAAAAATTAAATGAATCTAATAATCAAGCCGATTCGAGATCAGCTTGATTATTAGATCAAATCAAATCATTCTGATCACAACACATTCAGATTCAGCTTTAGATAATATCTTCACTGAGGCTGAAATTTCTCGTATCCAGGAAATATTGAATGAGCCAGAAATAACTAATGATTCTTTGACTGATTGGTTAGATGTTGATGCTAGAGAAGATATTTGTCAGAAAATGACTGATGAAATGATTATCGAATCCATTTGCAGTGACGAAGATTGTCAAGAAAAAACAGATGATGATGAAGAAAGTGCCAGTGGGATAGCTGATATACTACTAACAACCAAAGAAGCAATAATAGCCATGGAAACTGTTATAAAATGGGTTGAATCAGAAGAAAATATAACAGTGTCAGATTGTTGCAATTAGCATCTTTCAAAAGGAAAATGATACAGAAGTTATAAAAAAGCAAACAAAAATTACTCACTTTTTTAAGTGATGTTTTGTAATTGAAATGATGTCGAATACATAGATTTTAGTCAAGTTATAGATAGTGTTTGTTTTTACATACAGTACTGTATTTTCAAGCACACCTTATGTAGGTAAATAAAATAATACTGTACATATACAGTATGTACTGTACTTATTAATATGTATAACTATGTTATGTGAATTTTAATAAAACACTTAATAAATAAATTGGTTTTTTATTAAAATACATAATATGTATGTAATTGATGGGATGTTTCAGTTTATAGCTCAAATTGTTCTGAGTAAATTTATTGTGTTGCCACTGCGCCACTCAGTATAATGCAGTTCACCCTATAACACGGGAGTTGATTCCCGCCTAACATGTGCGTTATATCAGGGGTTCACTGTACTGGCTTTAAGAGTTGCATTTTCAACCCACTAACATATTGTGCTAAGGTGGTACATGTTTTATGTATCAATGTCATGCTGGTGTTCCTTAATCCTGTATGTTTGTGAATCATATGTTGTGACAGTACGCCATTGTATATATATACAATGGCGTACTGTCACAACATATGATTCACAAACATACAGGATTAAGGAACACCAGCATGACATTGATACATAAAACATGTACCACCTTAGCACAATATGTTAGTGGGTTGAAAATGCAACTCTTAAAGCCAGTACAGTGAACCCCTGATATAACGCACATGTTAGGCGGGAATCAACTCCCGTGTTATAGGGTGAACTGCATTATACTGAGTGGCGCAGTGGCAACACAATAAATTTACTCAGAACAATTTGAGCTATAAACTGAAACATCCCATCAATTACATACATATTATGTATTTTAATAAAAAACCAATTTATTTATTAAGTGTTTTATTAAAATTCACATAACATAGTTATACATATTAATAAGTACAGTACATACTGTATATGTACAGTATTATTTTATTTACCTACATAAGGTGTGCTTGAAAATACAGTACTGTATGTAAAAACAAACACTATCTATAACTTGACTAAAATCTATGTATTCGACATCATTTCAATTACAAAACATCACTTAAAAAAGTGAGTAATTTTTGTTTGCTTTTTTATAACTTCTGTATCATTTTCCTTTTGAAAGATGCTAATTGCAACAATCTGACACTGTTATATTTTCTTCTGATTCAACCCATTTTATAACAGTTTCCATGGCTATTATTGCTTCTTTGGTTGTTAGTAGTATATCAGCTATCCCACTGGCACTTTCTTCATCATCATCTGTTTTTTCTTGACAATCTTCGTCACTGCAAATGGATTCGATAATCATTTCATCAGTCATTTTCTGACAAATANATATAATTATATATTAACTTAATTTATTGTAACTTTATTATAATTATATATATACTTTCCGCCATCCAGCGCCACGCTACGGAGAGTTTAGGCGAGTAAGTTGAGTTTACTATCGTCTGTACAGTATGTAAATTAGGTACTGTAAGTCTAATACAGCACTGTAATTTTATACATTTCTTGTGAAAGAAACATTTCTTATTCAATGGCCATAAAAATTATATCTATTAATGATGTCTCCAAAGTTCAACAAATTTTTCACAGAAAAATAACATCAGAAATCACGGCCGCCGTTTGGTGCGCTGCTCCGCGATGAAAACAAGCTTAAGCAATGGTGACATCGAATGGTGCACACTCAATAAGTAATCCTACAATTTTTTGTTTATAGCATAGTTTATATGGATTATTCCCAAAAATTATATGTGTTTTGGAAATGTTAAGTTGAATTAGTCTAGAATCAATTAACTTTATGGAAGAAAACCTTTCAAACAGCCATAGTCCCTAAACTTCACACGTGTCGGGCTGCAATTGGCTCGTGTATTTAAGGATTCCTACAACGTGAAATTCGTATAACGAGGAACGTATCTATGCATTATAGGGGGGGTCTACTGTAGCTTATAATGAATCCTCATTGTACTGTGTAGTGTAGGTGGAAGTAAATCTTGAACAGGTATGTTTATATTGTAAATTCTAATTAATATAAATTCCTCTGTGAATTTGCTCTACAACAGATATCTATAAATTTCTATGCATGGTTGATGAAGGTCTTATGTATCTTGTACCAAAATGCATACCAGTAATAAAGTTGCATTCTGAGGATAGAAGTGCTATTTTGATGTTACCAGTAACAGTGTGATAAGTCTCTGTTATATCTATATAATATTTGAGATTTAGTTTCAACCTTTATTATTATTAATTACTTGTTATCTGTCCTAAAGTACAGAACAAATTTGGAAGTTTAGAATGACCTTCCCAGAAATTTGAAAAAGAGTTAACAAGTTCTTGTCTCAAGATTTTCAGTTACTGTATTTTTCACTTTTTGCTATAAGACACTGTATTGGATGCATCAATTAATTTTTCAATTAATTTTTTGGGGAAAAATGTCCTTCACGATATAAGATAGATGTAGCCTGTAGGTTGTATCCTAATTTTCAGATAAATTTTAGGTACAAAACAGTGCATATTATAAGGCAAAACTATATATTGTATGGGACCCAGGATAGAGTAGGCCCCATATAAAACAGTCCCTGTCTCCAGATGTTGCCTTTAAGAATTTTTAAACCAATGCAAAAGTATACTCTTTGTTTAGCAAATTATTTTTACTTTGTCAATATGCATTTTAAAGCTACTAAATGTAATACTTTTTTCTTTTTTAAGATTTAAATTCAATTTACAAAAGTTTTCATATTATTTAGTGTAGTTTACACAGATTTCTACATCTTATCAATTTACTATGTAGACTATGTAATAAACAGATAATATGTTTAAACTGAATATTAAATGTGGTATATACTATAAAAATTTATCTGTTTTCTTAATTTTATTATAAGGAGATGTTTCTGTATAAAAAAGAATTTGGCAACTTTTAATGGCTTGAAGTGACAAGAAACTTTGACACAAAGGTAAGATATTTTATATTTGTATATATACTGTATATAGATGTTAAAATATATCTGAAATATATGACTGTTTAGAAACCTGAGAAATACAGCATCTGCCAAGTTTTTCTCTGTATATACTGTATATAACTGGTTTTAGAGCTCATTCAGCCTATTACAGTCGACCCCCCTATAACACTTGATTATTCCGTTTTATATGAATTCCATGTTGTACGAGTCACTTAGATTTTACAAATGCGTGTGCCAGGCTCATGTATTTGTAAAATCTAAGTGACTTGTACAACATGGAATTCATATAAAACGGAATAATCAAGTGTTATAGGGGGGTCGACTGTATAAATGAGTATTAGCCCTGTTATGCAAAAGCGGTGTGGGGAAAGACTGATCCCCATTAGGGGAAATTATGATTCCCATTAAATGTATGTGTATGTGTACGTTTGTATATATACTGTTTAAACAGTATACAGGATTGTGATTTGTGAATTATTAAATAATAAATAATAATAATAATAATGTATAAATGAGTAACAGATCATTTGTAAAACTAGGATATGGTGTTGGCCACAACATTACTTTCCCAGCTGTTACAGAATATAACAGGAAAAGATGGCTGAGTCAAATTTTGATCTGGTGTTTTTTCTTGATCTACGATTTCTGTGAGGGTGTGGGTTTGGGTGTGTGTAGGCATTTATTTTGTATTATATCTCAGAATTGGAGAAGCCAAAAATTTTAAAACTTGGCAGAGTTATTTCTATATATAAGGCTTTGATTCTATTAAAGATTGAATGATTAAAGGTGAATGGATGAGGAGATAGAGGGGGTTGGGTCATATCTTCAGTGGAATCAGACTTAATGAAAAATTTTATTCTCTGTTGGCATTTACAATTTCTTAGAAAACTCACCCTTACTTCAAAAATGAGGTTTTTTTCCTTTTTATAATAATTAATAATATAAAAATTTAAAAAAAATAAAATCTCATAATATATGTCACTACACAGTATTTTTAAACTTAAATATTGTTTTTTTAAAAAGAGAAATTTATTTTAACTCAACAAAATTATTTCCAGTGCAAAACTAAAACTAGCAATATTTGCTGGATATAATCATTCACTTTTATAACCACTTAAAAGGGGTGTTTTGGACAAATAAACTGAAATGTTATGTCCTTGAATCCAACGTTCACCCAAATTCAAGAATTACTCAGAAGACAATTTTATTTAAATACATTTTGGATAAGAGTTCTCACTGATCTCCCTTCAGTCTATAAACAATAAAATACATATACAATTAATTTTTTTTTAACAAAGATGCAAAATATTAATATAAATCACTCATGATAGAGTTCACACCAATATTTGGGCCTCTCTGACATCAATTACAGTAACTTAATGTAACCATAACATTTTGGTTTATTTGTCCAAAAAACCCCATTTAAATGATTATAAAAGTGAAAAATTATTTTCTTTAAGCTTTTATTATTTAAATTTTATATCATGGTATAACTGAAAATTATTATATTTCCTTCCTGATCCTCTTAACCTCCTGTTTGAGTGCCAGGAAAGTCATGCAAGAACCCTTGCCAGCTTTTTTTTTATTCTTAAATGAAAAGCATTGAATCAGTAGGTACTAGTATCACATACCTAAAATAGTTTCTTGAAATCACTCAAAAGATTCTTTAATTGCTTCAAATCAGTTCAATCTCTCTTCCTAACACTCTCCATCAGTCTTTCATCATTTGTTTGATTTTTACTCTTTCTTCCCTTCTTTCTTTAGTCCTCCACTGCCAAATAGTCATAATTAACAGACCTAGAAGTTTCCTTTGTCATACAGTTCATATGTGCTCAGCCAAGATAAATTACAAATTTATGACCTATGCATTTGCTGAGAGAATATTTTTAATAACTAACATTTCCAGCCTACTCCTATAGGCCATCATCAGGTTTATTAAAACTGTTTTTAGAAAATGTTCAAAGAATAGAACATTCCATTTAAATTTTAACCTATGAGATATTTTAAAAATATGAATTTAAATGGAAACAAATTAAATAAATAACTTAAGAAAAAATATATGAATAACAATAAATAAAAATAAACTTAAAAAATATACAAGGTTAACAAAATACAAATAAACATGCAAATAAGAAAAATATAAAAACTATGAGAGTATAACACATGAGCCAAATATGATTATAGAGGGACACACAATTCAGGTGCTTTTATGTCCAAGTTTTATGTATTTGGACATAAAAATGTATTTATATAGTGTGTCTCAGTTAAATTTTTCAGAACTTCTAAGAGGGATAGGGTGCATCCCGACGACTCGGAATAATACAGCAATGCAGGGTCAGAAATGCTTTCCTGAAGCAGTGATGTACACAGAAACATCATAAAGAAGAAGACCATAAGTGAATATTCATTTTAATAATAAATGTACAAAAGCAAAAGGAACATGTGTCAAAGAAAGTGTTCGAAATTTCTTCCACTGACTGCAATGTAGACTTCAGATCTACAGCGCATGGAATTCTGAACATTCTGGAATAATCCAGGTTCATCTTGAATTTCTCTGGCAGCTACTGTGATTCTTGCAACCAGCTCCTCGGCATTGTCAATGGAGGGTGTCATAAACCAGTGTTTTCATATGCCCCCAGAAATAAAAATCAAGACATGATAGGTCTGGTGACCGAGCAGGCCAATGCATGGGACCATCACGTCCAATCCACTGTTGAGGTGGTTGCGTCAGGAAAGTATTTCGACCCCACATTGCTATATGATTCCGAGTCATCGGGATGCACCCTACCCCTCTTAGAATTCTGAAACATTTAACTGAGACACCCTGTATATAATTAGTAATTATATTCTCATATTTTTTTGAATGTCTTTTTCTGTATATTACTATAAATAAAAAGTTTAGTTATATTAACTGAACAGACTATAACTGTGCTGTTAATTAATTACTTAATAGTACATTTATAACCTGTAAAAAACTTATTAGGTGTTTGGTTAATTCAATATGGGGCTATAGTTTGAGTTTAATTATAATTATCCTGCATAAGTAATAATTGATAAAAGTCATATTAATTGTTCATGCATAATTAATAATTGTACATTTTATGTAACCTTAAAAGATAAATACATTTTTAAAATGATATGCATTTATTTCTTCTATCAATTTCTTAAAAATAAAATTATTTTCTAAAAATAACTTTCTAAAAATATTTATTCAATTATTACAGAGATGTTTAGGATGTTTTTCAAACCATTAAAAGTTGAAGTTTGGAAAATAAAGGATTACATTAAATGGAACAAAAAAGAGATGAATAATAATTTCCTTTATAAGACCAAGAGCAGACAAAATAATTAAAAATAAAAGTCATACATTACAGTTCTGAAATGATAAGAATGTTAATGGGATTTGACATCACAATATAAAATAAAAGTGAGTTAGTAAATTGGGGCATTTAGATATTTCTTGTTGAATACCAAACATAAATTTTTAATGATACCCATGATATTTGATACTGGAGTTGAGTTTCTAAGAAGAATCAAGAAAAATATTCCATGTAAATACAGCAAGAATGATAAGTGGCTATATGAGAATACAAAAGAAAATTTAAATTATAAATATTAACAATAACTGAGGTATGTTCAGAATAAAAAATTTACCATTCCTTTTTATTCCTTTGAATAGTTTGCAGATTTTGATATGCAATTCATAGATTCACAAATTAACTTGAGAAACCAAGAAATGATAAAATCAAACCAGATAAAAGCATTGAAAATGAAATGTTTATGAAAATAATAACCATTTGCATATTTGCCAATCTTTAGAATGGGGAATAGCTGGAAAGTTGGTAGAAAAATGCTGATTTTTGAATAAAAATGCTGAAAGCATAAAAAGCAAAAAAATTCTTTATTAACATTAATATTGCACAATGATTATATTAAATATCTTTAATAAACAAAATTTAATGTTATCTCTGTGTATGATAGCTTATAAAGTTACAGTCGACCCCCGTATAAGATCATTGATTATTCCGTTTTATATGAATTCCATGTTGTACAAGTCACTTAAATTTTACAAATACGTGAGCCGTTCACAGCCCGGTACACGTATTTGTAAAATCTAAGTGACTCGTACAACATGGAATTCATATAAAACGGAATAATCAATGATCTTATACAGGGGTTGACTGTATTGCCATAAACACTCAAGAGTATGGCAATAACTTTATACTCTTTAACATCATAATTAAAAAAAAATCTAGCAACAAGTTATGTAACTTTCCTGGCTGTTAGGAGATTTTCTTTAAAAAATCATTTTTTAATTTTTAATCATAAATAAATAAAATTATATATGGTGTCATCTATTATGAGATTTTGTTATAAAAACTTTATATACTTTTAATTATTATAAAATAGCAAAGGACTTAATTTTGAGTGTAGAAACAAGTTTTATAAAGATCTGTAAATGCTAACAATATGTAAAATCTTCATTAAGCTCAACCCCATGTGAGATATGACATGTGACCACCCTCTCTAGCTCCCCTCAACCTTTCATTACTGAAATTTAATAGCATCAATCCCTCTAATACACAAGCCTCCATGCAAAATTTCAGAAATTTTTTATACAAAGCAGGAATTATTAAGGTTCAAACAGGGTGAACAAAATTGTGCTTCACACACATACACAGACCCACAGAAAAACCCCTGAATTATTTTGCATTTCTTGATGTTTCAAAGTTTCCTGAGTCCAAAATTGTAAAAATTTTGATTGATTACACTTTCCCTGTTATATATAACAGAGCTGGGAAAGTAAAAAATGTTTTAATGGAAGGTATACATGAGTGTTTTGAATGATATTTCAGTACTTTTCACTCAGATCGCTCATGTGTTGCCATTGTCTTATCTTATTAAGCCAACTATCCAACAAAGGATGAGACAAGGGAGCGTTAATAAAACTCAGGTGGTATTTAATCTGCCACAGGTGGTAGTGTGTCAAAGAATTATAAAAATTTCTTGTCAAGAATCTCATGAATAATGCAAATCAAGTTTTCAAATATATTCAAGTTTTAGGAAGCTGAAGAATTTCAAAGAAACTTAGATATATACCTTATTAATTTATCTTACAAACATTTTACAAATTAGAAATGACAAATGAATATACATAGGTAAGAATTCTTATTTATGTATATTGATTTGTCTAAAAAGATTTACAATTACAATGTATAACTTGTATAGGGGCTGATGAGGGACAAGAAAGTCTGAAATGCATTTCCCAGATAATATAAACCAATAAATGTTGATTTCCTAATTGGCAATATTTTGTATTTTGTATTTAATAAGTCTGGTATCACAATGGATGTTGATGGCTGTTAATGAAAGTAACAGACAACAACCAGACATGAAGCAAATACAAGAAATAGAAATGTCTTATAAAAGAATATAAAACTTATTTCTAAAAATTTATGAAATTGATGAAAAGAATTTCATCAATTTTTCATCAATAAAAGTTTGTATTTAGTTATTTTCTTTGTAAAAAAAAATCTTTTGTAATAATTAATTTTTTTTCAGTTTTGGAGGATCAGGATATTTATTTTTTTATAGTTTTGGAAAATATATGCATGTTTTACAAAATGAAAATAAGAAAATATTTTTGGAAAATATTTCAGTGTCTCTTATTATTATTATGTTGGGTTTTGTGAGTTGTACTCGGTTCACACCGGTGGCTGTGTACTATGCCGGACCAGAGTCAAGGCATAGCAACCAAAACAAAACTAAAATTATTATTATTATTATTATTATGTATATATATATATTTTTTTTGAGGAATTTCAGTTATTTTACTCAATGATTTAAACATATTTAGAAAAGCTCTAGAAATCTAATAATTGAAATACTCTGGACCATATTATAAATCTAACTGTACTCAAATTGATTTAATATTGATGAATGTTTTGGATTGCCATGTAGCATATTACAAATCTAAGGAAAAATTAGTCAATACATCTGATGATATTTATTTATATATGGTAATGAAAAAAGTATTTTCCTCACTAATTATTTCAAAAACAAAAAATATACACTGTTAAAAGTTCTTCAGTGATTGCACTGACATGTTGAGCATGTACTGTACTAAACAATGGTGTCACCATCTACATCCTGCCACCTTAAGCCATTAAGGTTGAAAGCTGTCTCTATCTGTAATGGAAATAGATATCAGTGTTAATTTAGTAGAAAGTGACAAAATGTATAATATAAGCTTCCTTTTCATTTTGAAATACCAAATGGAACCCCAAAACAGGTTGTAATTATATGGTACCTATATGTACACCACTTCCTAATAAAGGTGCAAGATGGATGGAACTGAATACAACACATACATATATGAAAGATATTAACCAAACACAAGGATTTAGCCAATGGAAAAGAAGATAAGGAAAAAGGGAGGGGAGAAGGGAGGGAGAGAAGATAGACAGTAGAGAAAGGTAGGATTCCTCTGAACAGAATACTGTACCTTCTACATTTGTTGCTGGCATGCAGTTTTTAGGCTGCAAGGCCGTAGTCTCCCAAAAGGTCTAAAAGAAAACCTTTGTGTAGCAAACACCAATAATTGAGTGCCAACATGAATAGATTAGTGTTGAAGTTAGTGCCAAGTGTAGAAGTTAATGTTAATAGGAAGACTAATAACTACTTAATACTAATAAAACTAAACACGAGCGCAAATCTCGATACTATTAACAGCTAGACAGACAGTGTGAAAACAATTGAACACAACAACAAACTAGACGAGACGGATGGACTGACAGTAGACAAACAAGCAATACTTCAATTTTTTTTTTAATTTAATTATTTATTTATTACTATTTTTTTAAATATTAACTTACTCACTAACTAAACTAACCTATCAAAATGTAGGACAAACCTAACTAGATGACTGAAGCTAACAACTCTAGTCTAATAATAATAAATGACACTTTTAGCCCATGATTTTAATTTAGATAGAGTTAGATAGCCTAATAAATAGGATTTAACAATTTGGAGGGCTTATCACACCAAGGCCGACAGAAAAAAAAGACTAGATCTTTTACAAAAAAGTTAGTTTTTAATAATCACCTTCAAATTTAGGTAAGGATGTATTTCGGGTACAAGAACCCCTTATCAGCTTACAAACACATAGCACCAACATATAATTATAACACTGATAGTTAACCAATAAAAAGGAATTTTTGATATATAAAATGCCTTACCGAAATTTGAAGGTGATTATTAAACACTAACTTTTTTGTAAAAGATCTGGTCTTTTTTTTTTTTGTTTTCTTTTGGCATAGGTATGATAAGCCGTCCAAATTGTTAAATCCTATTTATTAGGCTATCTAACTCTATCTAAACTATAGTCTAATTTAACCTAACCAGAAACTAATCTAACTTACAACTAGGACTAACTTAAACTAACTGAATTTAGACTGAAAAGAAGACAGAAAATAAGAATTAACATACAAAATTTAAACGCAGCTATGTACTGACAGTTGAAACAAAGCAAGGGAAAGCTAATTGCCATCCATGACCTGGAGTGAGTGCTCTCAAGAACCCCACTAGGGGATATGAATGTGAGGAGATGATGGAACATTGTATGCTTGTGAATGAGTTGGTGCGGGTTTCAAGGCCAGTTGTACTCTTCAAGAATAGCAGCTCTCATTAAACTATATCTAATGTGATTGTACATATTGCAGTGAAAAACTAAGTGAAGTGGTGTTTGGTCCACCTCACAATCGCATTGTGGATTGTCCTCTGTGAATACAACACAACCATAGATATGATTGAATGATCTAGTTGAAAGGAAAACACCAACATTTGATTAAATGAAAAATAAAACTTCACTGATGTTGATGCATGATTATTTTACATACTCAAAATGATTACTTTCCACAATGATGTAAACTTTGTTACAATGCAAAATATGAGTAAAATGTGATCTAGTACAATCTACTTTTGGTTTTTTATTTTCTTCTTTGTTGTCTTGTTTACCATTTTAGAATATAGATAGAGATAGAGTAAATACCTGGTAAATACTTTTTTCTTCTAGATCTTTGGCATTTTTGAATAATGAGTTGTTGGATTTTTTGTAAGTGAGCTGGATGTTTTTAGCTCTCACCATCTCTTTATAACACCAGAAGGCTCTTGTTGTATTTGAGGGCCTTGTATAACTTATCACTCTTGCTGTAAGATGTTCCTGGTAGTGCTGAACTAGGTTTTTGATGAAGCTACAGAATTAGCTGTGGTGGAACACTAACTGTAATATGTGCTCAAGTTCCTCATCTCTGTCTTGGATGTCAGTAGAATGGGTGAAGTCTCTTATGGAAAAGGATCTGAAAATGGCTGCCCTTAAAGATGTAAGAATTGTGTGAAGTCATCAGGATGAACAGAGGCTTGTACAAAGGTTTATGAAATATTTTGTGTAAATATGGTCATTGCAGTGTGTTACAAGAATATCCTGGAAATACATACTATTGTAAGTTTCTTGCTTGAAGGTAAGTTACCCCTTTGAACATGGAGGAGTGACACTTGAGATCTACAAGTTCCTGTATGTGGGAATGATGTTTGGCTGGATCCTGGATGGTTTCTAAGAGAGGTAAATAGACACATTTTTTTTACAGCCTGTTCCAGAGTCCCATTTGGTATTTCAGAATGGAAGGAAAGTTAAAATTACATATTTTGTCAAATTTGCAGTGGCGTGCCATCTGTGGAAGCATGATTTAGCTCATGGATGCTACACACCAAAATATCATAATGCTTCCAATGATTCTATGCAGGGCTGGCACAGCTTTCCTATCATCAAATGTCACCACATGCCACTGCAAATTTGACAATTATGTTGATGTTTATTTTCATTATGGGCAGAGATAGCTCCTCTATCACCCAAAATCTAAGAGGAGAGACAATTGGTTGCACCATTGTTTAGAATTTGTTGCACAAACATTGGCAAAAGGTCTGCAGTAGTTGAACTATTCATTTTCAGAATAGCCAGCTGGAAAAAGATTTTTATCATTGTAAAATCTTTTAATATTCTTTCAACATTTGATGTGTTTCTGAGTAAGTTTATAAAGTTTTTAAAATAATATATTATTTCAAGTTTTTAATAAAATCATTTAATAAAACATTAAATGATTATATTTTATTTATATATTATTATTTCATCTGTTACAACTTACTTACATTAAATAAGTAAAACTTTCACAGAAAAGAAATTTTTTCTTATTCATTAGGCATTCTTATTTAAAATTTAAAATAAAGTGATAATAAGAAAACAATTTAATTTCTTGAATATTACTTTTTTACAGTATGAAGACTTGGAGAAAGCTATTCATTTTACATAAGCTAAAGATTAAAATGGAGATTTTGTATAAAAAATATTTTCTTTAAATTTAAAAAGAGCAACCAACCAAACAACTTATTTTACTATTAAAAATATAAGTTATACCTGAATATTTTTCAATATGATAAATTTTATACTAAAATTTATTTTATGTATAGTTACTTCAATACATACAAAATGCAGTACAGTATTGGTATTTTATATATTGTATATTAATATAATTGTTAAACTTTCACGTAAACAAAATTTTATATATAAAAGTTTGATTAATGTAAATAGATTCATTTAATTGTTTTAATAAAAACAATTAAATTTACCTATTAGTCTAAATGTTTTTATAAAACATTTGTAATTTATTATTTATTTAGAAATATTTAATAAAAGATTTTTTATTTAATAAAATATGATATTATGTATAATTTTTAACATATAAAAAGTTTGTTGTCTATGTTGTTCATAAGTACAGTAATCAATGAATATATCAAAGATTGTTTGCAATGCTGGCTTCATGGCTGTCCAATCATACAGGATCCTGTGTTTAGAAGAGCTTAGAGGCAGTTAAGCATTTATTATAATCACCAGGACTCGCCTACACTGTTTAAGAATAACTGACTGGTAATATTAAGTGGGATAAGTAAATATAATTACAATTGGTAGAAATCTGATTTTATTGATTCTGATAATGCTAAAACTTTAAAAATATGTTTAACTTGAAGATCTATTCATTCATTAATTATTATTATTATTATTAACTTATGTGTTTTAAGACGTGCTAATTATTAAACTGATAATATCCAAAATAAGTGAATTCTACTGTATTATACATTATTCACTCTGTTTATTCAAAATCTCTACTAGGCAAGTTATTATTTAATTATTTTTAATATCTCTATCATATTTATTAATACCACCACACCCTTTTATGTAAGTTATGTTTTCATTTTCAATTTTATTGTTATCTTCCCCATTATATTATCTTTTAAAAATATTATGAAATATATATTCTTTCAATTTGTGATTTCGGAATTTAAAGTTAAAAAAATGAATGTTACAACTCTATCAAAAGATTAATGGTTTTATGAATTCTTTTAGATTCAGTATTTAAATTTAGCTTAAAAAACTAAATTTAGTACCAGTTTGTTCCATTTATTATTACATAAAGTATTATACAATTCTTAAAAATGTAATGTATTACATTTAGACATAATGAATTTTGATTAGAAAACTTTATTCTTTTATTCTAAATAAACTTAATTATGAATTATACAGTATATATAAATATGTCTAAACTGTTTATCATTATTAATAAGAAACAAAAGCTTCAAAGAATAAATCAGTTTATATCAACTATATTTACAATACTGTATTACTCAACTTTGTGGAATTATTTAACTGTTTTCTGTAGTAAATAGATTAAAAAACATTATTGGAAGTAGCTATAGATTATCTTGCAAGATAACATATAACAACTACCAGTAATGTGTCTTTAATCTATTTACTCTGGAGAACAAATGTAAACTAACTATATTATGTCAACTAATAATATCCACCATATTTTGCAGCATATAAAGCACTTTATTTTTTCAAAATTTGACCTTTAAATTATTTTACATTCAGACTCAAATTCAGGCATGGATGATCTAGATATCTCTCTAGTTTAACAATCCAAACAATTTTGGAATAAATATACAGTATATAGTACACTGGATATAATAATAATCTTGCAATAAAAGGAATAATTGATGTTTTTTATACATGGCCAGTGAGAGGAAAAGGAAATCAAGACTGCAGCCCTGGGACCTAAGTATGAGATCCGAGAAAATTAAGTTAATTTTAAGTTAGTTAAGTTTAATTTCAAGTACATAAAGGAAGAGAAAAGAAATGAAATAAATGAGAGCATCACATCAGAATGTGTTGAAGGGCTTGAGAGCCCCTAGCCCCAAGATCCAGGATCTCTCATCAAGGCTATATTTACATGACAAATACAGTAGTTTTTCTGATTTAAATATTCATTAACACACAAGCCTACATATCTTGAAACAAGCTACATCTTGAAAGGTAAAAGACCATGAAGCACACTTTTGTTACCAATACAAAAATGTTTAATTTTCAAATAACTTAAAATGTTTTCTTAAATAAACAGTTATTTAACTAGTTACATTAACTAAAAAGTAATTAATTTTTAGTTTTGACATAACACCTTATTTTTCATTTTAATAATCCTTATTCTTGAAGAAAGATAAAAAATTTCTGTTTTTCCCTTCAATTATTTCCTTGTATAAGTTTTTAAAAATATAATTATCATTCTGACACTTTTTTTACTAGTTTTATTAACCTCAGTCTTCAGTTTTTGATAAATTTATCTAGGCAATACCTTTGGTTCAGTATTTTATCTGTTTTATCTTTTCAATAAAAGTTTTATCATTTATCATAATTTTTTTATTATATTTTATTTATAAAAACAAGATGAAATGTTTAATTTTAAATACATTATTTATTAATTATAAATATTACTATAGGCCTAGTACTAAATAATTTTTATCATTTAATTATTTAGCTCATATATATAATTTCAAAACAGTAAATTTAATTGGAAATATTAAAATAGAATAATAATAATAATTTTTTATGCCTATTCCAATTTGCAAATAAAAGTTTAAAACTGATTTTATAGTACAATGATTAATGCTAGCAAATAGTTAGTAAATGATCATTTAAAGCAAATATATTTGGTTGAGGTTATAAAGCTTTTTAGAGGTTAATTTAGGCTAATAGGAATCCGAGATACTAGCTTTAATTATTTTTTTTTACTTAAAAAATTATATATATCAATACATAAAAAATTAAATAAATACTACTATATATTGATATATTTATTAGTAAATTATATGAAAATAATTAAGTATTAACATAGTAAAAAAGAGTGGCCATCCGCATATAAAGGTAATTCTATAATGCCAATGCGTTTCAAAAATTTATACTTTAGATTATCTTAAATTTAGTTGTTAAATTTAACTAACCTGAAATAAAAGTATAATTCTCGATACTGTTTTCAACTGGCTCAAATGAAAATATGAATGCATCAGCGGTCAATTCTGGAAATATATTAGAAACGAATCTATTATTAAAAAACGTTCATTGATCACGAAGATAAATGATCCAAAACTGAAACTGAAATTTAAACAGGCGAGTCAAAATATTTTTTATTGCGTATTTGATATGATAATCTTATACTACTATATTAACAGGATGTAAAGCGTTGATAGATTGTAATAAAGATGATATTGTGCAAGCTTTATTATTTAATTGAATACTTTGTTATAAACCAAAACGTTTAAAGTTAGTATGGTATTTTTTAATTATTCTGAAAAGTGAGACCACGAGTGATTCAGTTAAATACATAGGCTACACTTATATCTGATAACTTATGTATTTGCTTCTCATGTTTCGTATTAGTTCCTATTATATTGATGAATAACTTAAGGAACAGTTTCATTTAGGATCATTGGTTGATAGGTAAATAAAAGTGCCAGGCAGTTAAGGCTTCAGACTACCGATTTGGGGACCAGGGATCGAACCTGGGCGAGTAACTCTAGGGATTTTTCTGGTGTGTTCTGTCCCGGATGTGTCTGGTTCTATCCCTCACCTCTCCGCTGCCCTTATCGTGGTCCTGATTCAATCCACGATAGGCATGGAAAAAAGGCCTTAGTGTACACAAGACGAAAGTGACAAATAAATCTAGAGAGAAGTTTTGTAATGCTTGTATATAATTTTGGAGATTTTTTTATTTTTAACTCTTTGTTCTGCGGGCATTGGGAATGCCTTCCGTGGAAAGTGATTTTTATTTTTATAACAATTTAGTAATACAAAAACTAAATAATTTGTTATGAAGACGCCTGACTTGGCTATTGAGTAATTTGTTTGATGAAAATATAGGCGGATCCCGGTTCTTTTGGTTCCCAATGACTAGTCATTAAGATTTTTGCCTTAAAGGCTGAATTTTGAAGTAAAAGTTTTTCCCGAAAATCGAAATCGCATGTTCAGGACAATATGTATAATAATTTTAGTTGAGATTTGCCCATTAGTTATTTCTACAGAAAGCTTTACACACTTATTCTTTAATTAATTACGTTTACCTTAAACTCATACCTTAATTTCTGAAACCCTATATCAAAAGCCATATTTTGCTTCCTTCAATCAATTAACATTTAAAGGAAATGTACGGTAGTAATCGTTACTTAAAATCTATGTTTCAAGACAATATTTATTTTATACTCGTGTTACTTGGCTGTTTAAAAAGTGAACTTAATTCAAAACGCATTGATTCTACTTTCAGTATTGAGATTGATATAGTAATAATGCAACATCCATTATTATATTCAACTCGTATCTTAATTTTCATATAAATTATAATAGGCTAATTTGTTGTAAAAAAATTACACTTTGTTTTATAACTTCACCAATATTTCAAAATGATTACTTCTGTAATAAAATTATAAATTCTATTGCATATTTCATTCATTTATTTTTATTTACTATGTACAGTACTGTCAAGTACTGTACATTCCTGGCCCCACATGGAGCATTACCAGGAGAAAATACAGTCGACAATACAGTCTAATTGCATACAGAGAAAATACAGTCTATTGCATACAAGTCGACCCCCTTATAACACTGTTGATTTTTCCGTTTTATATGAATTCCATGTTGTACGAGTCGCTTATATTTTACAAATACGTGAGCCGTTCACAGCCCGACACACGTATTTGTAAGATCTAAATGACTCGTACAACATGGAATTCATATAAAACGGAAAAATCAACAGTGTTATAGGGGGGTCGACTTATTTTATTATACTGTATATTCAAACGTGCAGCATGCAAATTTTTTTCTTTTCTAATTATAAAGAAATAAAGAACATATCTTTTGACTTTTGCTGAATTAAACTATAAATTTCAATTTTCTTGTCAAAAGTCAAAATTAAAAAAAAAAACACTGCGACATTTTATAAAATGCAAACTTTTATGAAAAAAATTTTGAATATTTTAAAATAATTCTAATTACAAACATTAATTTAAAAATATTTATATTAAGATCTATTAGTTAAGTTTTTACGACAATTATTTCATAACATTCTTATTACTTAATAAATGTTCTCTATCGTAAAAGATTTCCTATAAACTATTATAAAATATGATGTGTAATATTATGAGTCATATTCATCGATAATTTTCTTATTTGTAATATATTTCTTTACGAATTATTTTACTTTTAATATTTTTCCTTTAATTAAGAATATAGAAATATATTTATTGTATTAAGTTTATAATGAAAATAGGTTTAAACAGATAACAATCTTTACTGGGGGGCGTTTTAAAGTATTTGTTATTTGATCTTCTTGAAAAATTTGATAACTACCTCAATGCAGTTATCAAATTTCTCGAATATTTTAGGTTTCAGAAACGAAATTCTTTACGCAAAACTATTATTAAAATATTAATTACATATTTTATAATAATTTTGCATTGCCAATGACTTTGTCATCACCAAATTACAGTTAAACCCTCTATAACACTGTTGATAATTCGGTTTTATATGAATTCCATGTTGTACGAGTCACTTAGATTTTACAAATACGTGTGCCGGGCTGTGAACGGCTCACGTATTTGTAAAATCTAAGTGACTCGTACAACATGGAAATCATATAAAACGGAATTATCAACAGTGTTACAGGGGTGTCAACTTGTATATGTCAATCTCTCAACCTCAAACCGGTTCGTAGACTTCGTTAAAATAATACATATAAGTTAATTCTTATTATTTAAAATACTTTAGTTTAGCACCAGAATCGATTTAGTAACATTCTTAAAATAGATAAATTAAAATAATTAATTGAATAAAGATATAATGATTCAAAATTGAAAGATTCATCACTTAGCTGTATAATAAATAAATAATTTAATAATTTAAAATCGTTAATATTTCTTAATTCATTTAATAGACAATTAAAAGTATTTAATTATTTATATAATAACAAAATGCAATTAAAAAATATTTTATTATTCATAAAATTCAATATATCACTAGATTCATGAATATTTTAAATTTATCTTCAATTATTTAAAATTTACTTGCTAAATTATTAAATTTAATAGATCAGAAAAAAATAAATAAATAAATTAGTTTAAAAAATATTAATATTTTTAAATTTACAATTTAAAACCTTATTAAATTAGAAAAAAGTGATTTTATAAGTGAAATTTTATGATTGGTTTCGTCTAATCAGTTCATTTTGTTGATTTAACTAACCACGTGTTACTTACTTTATTACTTGATTTCTTAACACATTCAGTCAGGCTGTTGTGAGTCATGGTGGACAGATGATAGGGAAAATGATTAAGGAATTTGTTATGAAAAATGTAGATTTATTCGAAAAACTGAAAAGATTTACAAATGAGAATTAACCATTAATTCTTCTAAATTAAAAAAAAAAGTCAAGAAAACTGTAAGTGATTTTAAGTTAAATTAATTATATATAGATTAATAAAATTAAACTTTTTAAAGTTTTATTCCTATAAATATGATTAATAAATCTGATATAAATTCATAATAATAATAATAAATTGATTTAATTTAACTTATTAAGGAGAGTTATATTTATAACTTTTAAAAATTAATTTTATATGAATTAAACATGAATTTATTAAATAATTAATAATAGATTCAACATGACAATTGCAAAATTATTAAGAAATTTGGATATATTTTTTTTAGAATAAATTAATTGTATTAATCTATATAAAGAAATAAATAAATAGAATAGATGTCTATCATTGAAATAGGTTAAAAGGAAAATGGAACGGGAGTTTTAGGATTAGTTAACAACCGTTGACAAGATTTATATCTTTTATGAAGTAAAATAAATGAAATTCTATAGAATTAATGTAAATATATACATTAAATGCATAAAGTAAAGGATGAATACTGTTTATCTTTATGAAAAATAGTATTTTATTTACGTAAAAGTAAGGAGATAAACGTGAAATATCTAGTTTATGAACTTTGAAAATTCGTAAACGGCCTATTTGTTATTATTGTATTACTCTTAAGAGGTTGGGTGACTAGTGACCCGTTTGCCACGTGTTATTTTGAATCGTGTCTCTTGAATTGTAATACCGTATATATTTCATTTTTATATCTAAAATTATGAAATTATATGAGATAAAATAGAGAATTTTATATTTTAGGTCAGTTTATTAGCGATTAAAATCACATAAATGTTAATTCTTGTGATTTATTTCATTCCGAAACGTTTGTTTTATATTAAACTGTTATTAAAAGTAGATATTTTTGTTCAAGTATTTACAGAATTTTACTAATAAACTTTCTAGTCAGTAATTGAATAAATTTAACTTCTATAATTCAATTTAAATTATTCTAGTTAAAAAATTATATTTTAAAATTTTACGCACAATACGAAGCAAAAAAGCATTGAATTTTTCAATTTTTATATTAAATTTGAAAAAATTTCCAACAATAAATTCATGATCTAATTGTATTATTTTCGCATAAATTTTTTACATTTTAATGAATTTATATAATTTATTTATGATAACATTGTTTAGAAGTCAGAATTTCGTATATTACTTTCTATGTTGTAATAATGCCATTATTTGTATTCTTTTAAGTGAATTTTTCCATTGTTTGTTGATGGACTAAAGTATGCCATGTTCTTATTCGCAATAATTTCTAGTTTTTATATAGGTTACTCTTCAATTATTTTGTTCATCTATTTGACTTTTAACATAAATATTTTCCAAAACAAAATATATAGCCTATATATATATAAAATACAATGAACATAACTAGGACCAAATTCACATAAGTTATATTCTAAACAAGTGATAGTTTAGGGCTTCACGCTACGAAAATACAGTTTAAATTTTATGCTTTTGAATTTACTAATTTAATGGAAAAAGGAAGGACATATACAGTATTAATAGGGTGAAAAAGATTTAAATCCGATCCTGACTGTAACAATACATGCTACTATATTTTAATATTATAAATCTGCATTCGTTTTAATTAGACGGAAATTCCAAATAACATATCAATTACTCTCATCTTGTAGAAGAGATAAACATAAACTTTTGTAAAAAGGAATTTGTACTTTTGATAAATATGTTTTTAAACTTATCAGGTCGAACTTTATACGAAAAGAATAAAATCTCATATATAGGCTATATATAGCTTAGAATACATATTAATCAAAATCTAAGTGTTGATTGCATCGCCTTAATTAATTAATTAATCATATTAATTACATCTAAAAATCTTTCTCTAAATAGAGTAGGGCTTAATTACTAAAAGTTATATACACATATTATCAGAATATTTACAGATATATATAATATAAATAATTTATATATATATAATCTTTCTCTAAATAGAGTCTCAAAAGATATAGCTTATTCTGTAGGCTATATATTAAAATCTATTCCTGTTATAAATATAAAAAAATTAATGTGTAGTTTTAATAATAAAAAGCGATCAAAACTCGCTGTGCATCTATATCATGTCGTTTGTAATACAGGATCATAGCGATTTTTTTATAACTTTACACATCTTTATATTATCAATCTATGTCAACCTATATTTAAAAAAAAAATAACATTTCAACACACAAATTACAACTGAAAATTTTATTTAAAAAAAGATTGATGGTTTAAAATGTCTAATTATAAACTTATTTATAATTTTAGCACGTTTTTATAAACTATCATAACTTATGAAACTTTTAAAGGCGAATTCCGTCATGTCTTGTCTGTAGGTATGCAATCATTTTCATTAAAATGATTGCATGCCTATATCGGTATTTTAAAATATAATTCGCATTTTTTATCATTAAAATTTTTATTACTCTAGTAAGATAATTTAAAATAGTTTTTGTAATATAATAAAAGTACAGTCGACTCCCTATAAGACTGTTGATTATTCCGTTTTATATGAATTCCATGTTGTACGAGTCACTTAGATTTTACAAATACATGTGCCGGGCTGTGAATGGCTCACGTATTTGAAAAATCTAAGTGACTCGTACAACATGGAATTCATATAAAACGGAATAATCAACAGTGTTATAGGGGGTCGACCGTATTTATTAAATTGTCATTAATTCGTGAAGAATTAATCTTAAGTGTACAGTATATATTTTAAATGAAATTAATGCACGTTAGTGTGAATATGAAATAATTGATGTAAATTAAGATGTACTGTACAGTACAGTATATCCTGATGGATGAATGCATTGTCAGCTTTAGAGTTGTGGCCCTGAATTATATATATCATATGAGGGTCTTTCTCTTCAACCAAATAATAAATTTAAAACACGAAGCCCTAAACTATAGCCTTGTTGCATAAGGTCTTAAACTGTAGTTTGTTTAGCTCTGGAAAATCCAGGTTTCTTATGGATTAATTTAGAAATTTTCATAAGAGATTGTTTATCCGGATTATCGACTCCCTTCGCCCGCCATCCGAACATCCCTTTTTTTTTAGGTCTAAGGTAATGGTATTCTAGAAAACACTGTAGAACGAATAATTAAAATCGAATCTTAAAAATACAGTATATAAATCTTGTATATTAACTTACAGTATATATTGGAAGGCGGGATTATTGTTTTATGTTTAAGGTTTTATGTTTTACTTGAGAAATTTTTCTTTTTGCCAAAAATGGAAGAATTTTTATGCAAAACATGAAGCTTAACATGTAAATAAATTAAAAAAAATTTAATTATATTTAAATATATTTTCTTATAAAAATACAGTAATTACTTAGTTATTTTTTCGCGTGTAATTAATATTCTATAACTCTTATACGCTGAAGTTACATGTTTCTTATGCTTATTTTAAATAGTTCTAAAAGATTGATTCTAATAATTGTCTATATACTATTTAAAATTTAAAAAAATATTGTTTTTTGTTTTTTCTATAATAAATAATTGCCAGTTAGGTATTTTATAGCTTTAGTTATAAATGCATAAGATTTAAGAGATACCATTCACTCAGTATTAAACTATTACAGCCAAACTTCAATTTAGTGCCAGCCACAATTTGTTCGCCTGTAAAATTAGCACCAAATTGAATGTGGTGCTGATTAAAGTACCTTAGACAGAATTATACTTAGTAACGAGGTCTATGCACCAGTTTCAAAGTCATAATTTGGCGATAAAAATGTCGTTTGCAATGCAAATTCAGTACATTTATAAATTCATTAGCATTAATTTAAATTAAAACTATTTTTAAGCCTAAATAAATTATCTGTTTAAACAAATATTTGTGTAAATCAATGTACATATGAATAAATTTCAGCTAAAATACTTAGAATTATTTTAAAATAGTTTAACTCAACGCGACTCGTGGCTACATTTTAAATTATGCAACTTGCTGTAAATTATGATAAATCTTACGAGTAAAATAAAATTTGAAACTAGTTAAACCTTCGTTTGTTCTCAAAAACGATTTGTTCGGCTCTGAAATTGGCATTAAATCGAGTGTTGAGCTAAACCGAAGCACTTCAAACGTTAATAATTAGGTTATAAATTTAATCCGAGCTTTAGCCTTAACATAGGCTATTAATAAGGTTTACTCACAAGTTTGAAGGTTTGAAAATCTCGTGATTTGGTGATGATAATATGGTTTGCAATAAAAAATCGCACAGATTCACAAATTTTGAAGGGTTCTCTGTTTAATATTTATGGGGAATATTTTTAAATAGTATTTATTGGAACTTTACAAGGGTGAGGCTATTTACCAGTACGCTATACCGCCTCTGTCTGTATTTTAATAGGGCAAAAAATTAAAAAAAAAAAGCGATGACTACTCTAAGTTAATCAAAGATTATTCTGAGGTTATTTCTGTAATTATATGAAAAAAAAAACAATATTGTCTTTTATAGAATATGGAAAGGGACAAATTACATAACAATGAATAATTACTTAAATGTTATGTTATTAAGGTTAATATTAAATTTCGAAATTTTATGCACTTAAAATATATATATATCCTATAAACATTGCAATCGGTCAAGGATTTTGTTGATCAATTTGATAATGTATAAACTGTACGAGAGGAAGATAGTAAAAAATAGGGATTAATGTACAAAATAAAAAAATAAATAATTCAAAACCTGAAGTTTGTTAAGAAATAAAATATCCGAAAAACAAAACATAATAATTTAATTTTGAAAGATTTTAATTAAAAAATGTTAAAACGCAAAATAAAAACTGGAATGATCATGATTGTTTAGCAAAGATTGGTAAGGCTTGACTAATATCTAGGTAAATGGAATAAGAGATAAATAAAATATAAGTTTATATATGAAATTGACAAATGAAAAGGTAAATAAGATGTCATTTATCTATCTACATAGTTCAATATTGTTGTGGCTTAAAATCTTAAATTATATGCAATATGAAATTCATTGGTGATGAAAAAATGAAAATAATT